ATGACCTTAGTAGTATTGCTACCGTTCCAATTGAGTCTATTGGCATCGTTCGTAATTTACCAATAACACTAACTCCTAATTGTACTATATATAAGGATTTTGTAGTCGTGAAATATTCCAAGCCAATGTTAATATTTTCAAACCGACTTCTCAAGAAATATGAATGTGTTATTGATTGGAATCATGATAAAATAAAGATTCATCACAATGAAAAGGATCACATTTTTCCTGTAACTATGCATAAGGTGAAGAATAAGCTCGAAGTAAATTACACTACTGCGACTCAAGATAGCTCATATAATGAGGATACTATTACATCTAAGCCTTTGGTATCTAATCAAATTTTACAGGAGAAATGGCACGCTCCCACAGATTTTAATATAGATTCTGATGCTTTGACTTTTAAAAAAAACACATGAGCTATGAGAAGTTAGAAAAATCATTATATACTACTCTCCAGTCTAAGATTGAAATAAATGATCTTTGTGAAAAGTTGCAAATGCGTTATGAAAAGCTACTCAAACATATCTCTTCCAGAGATGATAACAAAAGTTAGACTAAGTAGTAGCTAATAGATGAGTCATATTCACTTTATTTTTCTCATCTCTTCTGGCTTCTTTTTATATAATGCATCCAGATCCTTGCTACTTATTTTTTCTATAGAGTTATTAGTAGGTATTGAATCAGATATGTGAGAGCGGAGCTCATTATTACATAATACAGATTTAGCCCAAGATTTGAATCTTCTCTTTTTTGCTTCTGTATTGAGAGTGATAGATTCCAGATATAGGTTCGGAGAACTATTGCTCTGCAATAAAACACTTTTAATCTGATTAGAATATTTGGGTAAGATTACTGATACAGGTAATATTTCAGAGGAAATGGTATTTTGTATTATTTGTTATGACTTTTCCATATGTCATTAACCCGATTTTCATTAATATGAAAATCTCTTATTATTCTATATTTAGAAATCTTTCTCTTGAGCGTTCTAATTGTTTCTATTTGTTCGGAAGTTAGAAATGTAGAACCTCATTGATAATAAGATTTTAGATATGGGGTATCCATAGTTTGATTTCTTATTGAATATTTAAAACAATAAAAAATAATATTTAATATTTTAGAATGATAAAAAATGATAAAAAATGATATATATTATTGTAGATGAATGAAAAATATTAACGAAGCAAATACAAGGTGCTAGAAAATGAAATATAAATAAAATAATTACTATGTAACCTAATTCAATGATATCTTATAATATTTTTTAATAGTCTATGATATCTAATATTAAATATCATTAGATAATTATTAACAAAGCTAGTTTTTATTAATACGAAAGTTCCATATATAAGTCATAGTTTCTTTATCCCAGTTGGTGGTATTAGTATTCCTTATTTGTTGTTTACACTCCTGATTATCTATGTATTCTATGACAGAAATACGATATTTTTTGCCATAGTGTTTACAGCATCAAGCATTTTACCTGGTGATTCTTTGATTTCTTTGATAGCCTTATCAGATAAGTATGTTGCATTAGCACTATAATATTCTTTATGTATGTGCCCATTTTATTAATTATAACTAATATTTAATACCTAAATATTGACGAATTATGGCTAATATATATACATTACAAAATATTAAAGGCTATCGACTTGGTAGTATATGCGAAGAAGAGCTAGAAAAAAAAATACATAATGCTATCAAATCCAAAGCCGAAATTAATAAGCTCAGTGAAAAATTACAGGATAAATACGTAAAGCAAATGAAGGCTTTTGATCGAGAAAGAAAGGGGTGAAATCAGGATTCGTTATGAAATAATACCAAGATTCAAAAGTTACATACCCATGCTTTGCAGGTTATTAATGAGCATAAGCAACTACAAAATGAAAATACTAATCTTATTTCTCATAATGCACAAAAGGATATTTTTATTGCTGAATTCAA